CAGATGATAGGACGAGGGGGAATGGTTTGAAGCTGCGCCAGGGCAGGTTTAGGCTAGACATTAGGAAAAACTTCTTTACCGAAAGGGTTGTCAGGCTCTGGAATGGGCTGCCCAGGGAGGTGGTCGAGTCCTCATCTCTGGAGGTATTTACAAGAAGGATAGATGAGGTGCTTAGGGACATGGTTTAGTGGTGGGATGGCAGGGTTAGGTTAACGGTTGGACTTGATGATCTCAAAGGTATTTTCCAACCAAAGTGGTTCTATGATTCTATGATTATTCTTTGTTAAAGACAAGGTGCTGTGGCTTGCCTACTGAGAAGGCTGTTAACCATTGTTTCTGAAAACTTGTGTGTAATTCAGGTGCAAAATTTGCATCCTTTAAGATTTTTCTCTCCTTCATTGACACAAGATATTGCTTAACAATATGCTTCTGAGTCATTTCATTGTGCAACACAATTCTAAAATGCTTGAAAATGTAGTTTGAATCTTATTTCAGTATTTTTATTTCTGATGTCTGAACTTTTGGGAGCTTCTCACAAATTTTGAAGTGAGTGGGTTTTTGCTATATATACACTCTATATGGAGGCTTTAAAATAACCCTGTTCAGAATTTGAAGGAGCATTCAGTTAGTATTTCATATACAATTAACTTTCTACACTAGCATTTTTTTCCAACCTTTATTTCTAGATTGGAGAAAAAAAAAAGTATTTTTAAATTAAACTGAATGCTATGTAATAGTATAATGTCAAAAGGCCACATGCACACATCTGTTTGTTAATATCAGTGTGCTATTGTTTCAGGTTTTGGCAGATAAACATGGTAATGCTTTGTGGTTGAATGAAAGAGAGTGCTCCATTCAAAGGAGAAACCAAAAAGTTGTGGAGGAAGCACCAAGGTATGTATACTAGACTCTTGATGCAGCTTCACAGTCTGAAAGCACTTTTGGAAAGCTGCTGATTTTATTTATTGTATAAATGCAAGCAAATTTTATTCTATTAAAAATCACAAAGAAAATAAATACATGTTTACATTATAGTTATTTGACTGTAATGCAATTTTGATGTTGTACTTGAGGGTGTTTTGATCTTACTTCATGATGTCTTTCTATAAGAAGAAAACAGGTGTTAATTTTTTTCATAATCTTGTATAAAATGGATATGGATCTTACAAATCAAATACATATGGTAATGAGATGGCTTTCTTAATACATCTGAGATATTTTTCCTTTTCTTTGCCATTCAACTTTTGGATTTAAGAGTAAAATAAAATATGGAATAAGTATTCATTTTACCACAGATGCAGATACTATGTTATCATAACTGTGAGAGTGCCAGATAATACTGTTTATTTCTATTTGAAATGGAACACGAAGTACTAAATACTCTGCGCCTCTTTTAGTACCATTCATGGTAATGAACTATAGATGTAGGTGTCCAGTAACTCAAAAGTGCTAAATGATCTTAATCCCACTGATTTCAAATGGGACTGAAATACGTTACTGCTGTGCAAGGTATGGTCTTGCTGTGTTTTCTGTTGCATGGCATTCATCAGAGAATATGTGTAGAAAAAAGGGCAGAAGGAAGATTTGATTTTGGAAAACCAGACTCAGTTATATCACTACCCATGGAATTCCCAGTGTAATGTGTTAGCTAGCTCGGATGGCTTGCCATTATTTTATAGCACAGAAATATGTGATGTGAGAAAAAGCACATAATTCAAATGACGTTTATTTAGAGGCAGCATGTAAATTAATGTTTGATCATAATTGTGGGATTGGCACTGTTTATGACCTAGATTTTAAATTAAAAAACAAAGTTTAAATCTAAGGATAGAAACCCACAAATAAATGCTTAAATAGCTGTTCCTGCTTCCTGGTAGTGCCTGTGCGTTTCTTGGAAGCCTTATGTCTAAAGATCTTTCTGTGGTTTTGTGTGTGAAGGCTTCAGGTCCCAATATAATGTGTGTGTGTGTGTGTGCCTATACACATGCCTAAGCAGTTGAGAGTCCTTTGCCTCAGGAGTACACATAAGGTGCCACTACTGCCTGCTCATTCTCCGTGCCTGTGGTCAATTAAAGGGAGTGATATCTCTTTCTCTCACCAGCTCACTGTGATCAGAGTGTTTTCTTTGATCAGGGATATGAGCCTTTTAACTTTCTCGGGCTTCTTTGTTGGAGTTGCGGTGAGTTTTCTCATCCCTTCCTCTAACTCTACAAAAGAGCATGGGCAAGTCAATAGCTTCAAAATTTGGTGTGAAAACTCTTCTTCCTTCTTGTTGTTGAATGTTTTAGACATCTGCCAGACTTTCACTGACAGCTTTGGAAGCCTTATCTGCCTTACAGCCATGTGTAGTTGGCTGCAGAATCCATTTATTTACAAAGGGTTACAAGACTGTTGCAGATAAGCAGGGCACTAATGTCTGTGAGACACTATAGAGACCCCAAAGCCTGAAGTTAGCCCTTCCTGTGAATGATGTTTCAGTTAGCCTCATTGATTAATGACTCCTGGAAACACCTTTTCTTGTATGGTTGGGTGGAGGAAATATGAAGTCCTCAGTAGTCCTTTTTTTTTTTTTTCTCCACTTTTAAATGGTAGTTGCCATTAAGAGTGCTGAGAGAAGTTGAAGCTTTTTTCTTTTTCGGTTGTTTTTTGTTTTGGTTTTTTTTTTTTTTTTTTTTATTTTCATGAGCCCAGGAGATAGGGATGCTGTGGGCTAAAATGTTTATTTGTCTTTTGTACAGTTTAGGGCTTTGGACTCTGATCTCTTTTGATTTACTCTTTTCCTATGATGATCTTTTCTTAAATATCTACTTTAAGAGACTGATTATTGAAGGCCTTTTGGCTTTGAGAATAATCTCTATGATTTTCTTAAAGTTAAGTCTGTAGCTGTTGAACTTATCCTTATAGGATCATTTCATGTTTGAATGTCCGGTTTTCCCAGGGAAGTTCAGTCTCTTGTAATAATAAAAAAACCCCAACACAACAACTAAGCTCTTTTGAGGAGAGAAAGCCCTTTAATTTACACCCTGATAAGGTTACGGTATTCAAGGGAGCATTGGTGTTCATGGTGGACAATTACCCATTTTCAAATAGGAGACCAAGACATAGTCAGTTGTCCTACTCTGTTCTGGGAAGCACAGACAATAAGATGCATCTGATCATTGCCAGTTTTTTAGTCAGTGCTGGGCAAAGTTAGTGCTACACAAAACTTCCAGTGATGTACAGTAATTTTCTTTGCTCCTAGCTTCACACTTTTTTGGAGATGCTGTTGGCTTCTTATTTTACCACAGAGGCTGAAATTTAAACAGATGAGTAACACTTAAGTCTTTTGTTGTTCCTTAGTTCAGTTTTTGTTCCTCCTCTGCTCAAACTCTTCTCTGTTCATTTTCAGAGAGAGTTGCTGTGAGACAGTGTACTTTGGCAAGAAAAAGTGTGAGGATGTGGTTGTATTTTCCTGTCTGCTAGAGTGATTAATAAGGGATTCTTCCCTATGGGGAGAAACAAGGCCCATAAGCTTAATCAGAAAAACCATTGATCCTTTAGGAACAATGTAAAGTAAATGGATCAGTGGAAAGTAAATGGACAAGAGTCTTAGCTGATGTCCTATTCAATAACTGGAGCAAAAAGGGGTTCTCTTAAATTTCACTTTGGTGAGAGCAGGTGTCCTATCTAACCGTTTCAGAACCTGTTAACAGCTTTTTAATGCACTTTAACTTTTGCCTCATCACTTGGGTGAAGGAGTGTCCAGCAGTTCAGAGGCACTTGGCTAGCTGTACTATTTGATGCCCAAAGTTAAGATTATGGAATGTTGTTATGGGGATGTGCCATGCAAAGACCCTTCCACTCACTGTCATCATCCAGCACTATCCTTTGCTGTAGCAGTCAAAGAGATTAAACATTTGATCCTCCATGGAATACCGTTTCGAATCATAGAATCATTTAGGTTGGAAAAGACCTTAAGATCATGGAGTCCACCTGTAAACCTGCCATTGCCAAGTCCACCAGTAGACCATGTCTCTAAGCACCTTGTCTATCCATCTTTTAAATACTTCCAGGGATGAGGACTCAACCGCTTCCCTGGCCAGCCTGTTCCAATGCTTAAAAACCCTTTCTGTGAAGAAATTTTTCCTAATGTCCAACCTAAACCTGCCCTGGTGCAACTTGAGGCCATTTCCTCTTGTCTTATTGCCCGTTACCAGGGAGAAGAGGCCAACCCCCACCTCACTACAGCCTCCTGTCAGGCAGTTGTAGAGGGCGATAAGGTCTCCCCTCAGCCTTCTCTTCTCCACGCTGAACAACCCCAGTTCCCTCAGCCATTCCTTATCAGACTTGTGCTACAGACCCTTCACCAGCTTTGTGGCCCTTCTCTAGACATGCTCCAGCACCTCAGTGTCCTTCTTGTAGTGAGGGGCCCAAAACTGAACACAGTATTCGAGGTGCGGTCTCTAACTATCATAGCTGAAAAAGCTGAGCTTCAGGACACTGGGTGTGTTAAACCTTGTCTCTACACTTTCAGGCCTTTCCTGGACAAGTAATGATCATAGCATCGTCTAGGTTGGAAAAGACCTTTAAGATCATCAAGTCCAACCATTAACCTAACCCTGCCATCCCACCACTAAACCATGTCCCCAAGCACCTCATCTGTCCTTCTTTTAAATACCTCCAGGGATGGGGACTTGACCACCTCCCTGGGCAGCCCATTCCAGAGCCTGATAACCCTTTTGGTGAAGAAATTTTTCCTGAGGTCTAACCTAAACCTGCCCTGGCACAGCTTCAAACCATTCCCCCTCGTCCTATCATCTGTTACCAGGGAGAAGAGGCCGACCCCCACCTCACTACAGCCTCCTGTCAGGCAGTTGTAGAGGGAACAACACCCTGCCGTTGTATTCTGTACTAACATGCAAGATGCATATTAGCATCCACAATGAGCAAGCCGTTAGAACTTGCTAGCTGCCTGCTTAGTCTCCTTTGTTGGCTCTACTTTTCTCTGGTGATTCCATGTCCTTTGGGTTAAACCTTAGCATACAGGACTTTGAGAATAAGGTGAGTCTTAGGACAGTCTCTCAACAATTTCCCAGAATTCCCCCAAGTTTCATCTTGGGCAGGAAGTAATTTGTTTATTATGTTTTGGTTTTTTAATTCCTAGCTGCATACATTTAGAGTTGAGATTGCCTGTCTATCCTAGATGTTAGTTTTGCGGTTTCTTTTTGAATTGAAAGATGTTCTTTCAGTTTCAGTTCAAAGGACAAAAATGTTTCTTTCTATTTCTGCCTGTGATGGAAAGATCTAAGAGTCAGGAGATTTGAAAGGGAGGCTAGCTTACCAGTCAGTGACTGCATTAGAATGCAAGTGAAACAGTTAAACTATTTTTAAGACCTTTTTTGCATGCTTCGTTGTTAGCTTCGCTCAGGAATGTTTCTGTCCCTGGAAGGTGCACAGACAGTGACTTCTCTCAGTTTCTCCAAGCACTAAGCTCTCTCTGAAAGATCTCAGTATGATACCAAGTGCTTCAGGATCATATTCCAGATTAACTGCCAAAGTGCTACTTGAAGCCACCAACAATTTGAATGAATGGGTATAGGCAAGAACTTAGCAGAAAGGTATGTTATTGAACTAGACTCTCTGTACAAGCTTTCCTTAGGGTTGTGCTGCATGTATGTATGTCAGACTCCACATTTCCTATCACTCTGTCTAGAAATTCTTGAAGGATTTGCGGTTACGAGAAACAGTGAGCCTGTTCCATTTGTGACTGTATATATGGCTCATAGGTGGTCACAGTTTAGATGTGGGGGTAAAACTGTGTTCTCAAATATTTTAGCATATTTATGCCTGCAATTTGGTAGTACATAATAGAGGTCTCAAAGGAGAATGGGTTTTGTAGGCAAGTATGCCTAACCATTCCACAAGAGCAGGTAAGTTGACCTTAAAATTTAGAAAATGAAGGTACCATTCTCTCCCAGTGTAGTGGTATCTTCTGAGGAAGGGTAAATGTTATTGATGGTTTTTTTTGGTGTGGGTGGTTTTTTTTTGGTTTTTTTTTTTTTTTCGTAGTGGTATCTTCCGAGGAAGGGTAAATGTTATTGATGTTTTTTTTTGGTGTGGGTGGTTTTTTTTTTTTTTTTTTTTTTGTTTTTTTTTTTTGTCTAAGCTGAGCAGTGAATTTCCACTGACAGTGTAACGGTCTGTACTTTTCAAAATCTCAACCTTATCTGTGAGTGAAGGTGATGGAGATATTTTGGGAAACATTATGTGATGAACTAGAAGTGGAGAGTTAACATCTTGCCCATGTGGTCATCTCTCTGGATATAGAAACAATGGAACAAACCAGTTGTATTATCTTTGATCAACTTTACAATAGCTTGTAGAAGGTTTTCTGAGTGAAATGTCAGGTCTGATCTTATTTTTTCTTTTTGGTGCTTTTATCTTGCAAATCCTTTTTATTTTGCAGCCTTCATGCTGCCATAGGAGCTATTTCGTCGAAAGAATAACAGGTATATGTGGGAGAAAAAGATTTGAAGTCAGGTTTAAAATGCTGCATTTTTAAGTGATGCCTAATTAGATTGGAGAAGAGTTCTTTCAGTTGTGAAAGATGCATTGTTAAAGAAGGGAGAAACAATATATATAAAACGTAAAGCAGCAGAGGGGAACAGGAAAACTTTGGTTAATTAACCTAGCTGATTGCAGGGATGATCCAGTCATTTTAGAGTATAAAGCTTAACCACGTGGCAGAGATCAAGTTTAGCAGTGTGACACCTCTGTTCCATTCTTTGGCTACAGCAGGAGGTGAACAGAGAGATCTCAGACCTACATTTAACAAACATAGGGAAGACACTGCTGTAATAAGGGGGAGTAACTGTCTTTCATCCATATGAGAAGTAATAATGGTTATTCTAGAAATAGAGTATGAAGCCGATATTGAACAGGTTCTGTTCTTCGTAAGCCACTAATTGACCTTTCATGATCAAAGCCCTGCAGAAACTCCAAATTGAATTATAGATTGTTGACTTTGTGTAATGTATTAGCCTCTTATTGAATCAAAATAAGAAATATTATGAAACTCTGTCACATTGCCAGTGCTTATTTTTCATAGGTATGACAGTTTTGCATGTTTTTGTTTTTTTCCTTTGGTCTGGTGTAGGATCTGATAGTTTTCTTGGGGTCAGACTTGACTTCCTTTTCATGTTGATCCTGTTGCTTGCCAAGAAATATTTTTTTTCCCAAATTCTGAAAATGCCTGCCCTACCGTCCATCAGAATCTGCCCGTGTAGGCACTGGAAGGATGGAGGTGTTAAGTAATGCTTTTCCCGTAAAGAAAAGGATTCCATTGTTTCCCAGTTTCCTTAGATATTTCCTCACTTTTTGTGTCATGTCAAATATGTTTTTTTGTGGCAGAAATCTTTAGCTCTTCTGTGAATTCAGGTCTCAGTGAAAAACCCCATGGTAAGTACTGAAAAATAAGTCCTGACCCAGCACTGCTTTCTGTCTGAGTTCAGTCCTGGGCCCCAGATGGAGCTTCACTGACTTTGATGGGGCCAATTCAGATACATGGAAGATTAGGACTCTCTGCTGAGGATACCTCAAGAAATATATAACATTTGGTATTTTCATTTTAAATGGTAACTTAGAGGTAGGGTAGAAATGACTTCCTATTCCCTTTTAAAACAACAGCCAAGTTGTGCCTAATGTAAGTCACCGCAGACATATAGTAATTGTTATTTGTAAGCTCATATAAAATGAACAGCTATGTGTTATCTTTCATTGAAGGTCAGCGTATCAGGGCGAGGGGCAACTAGTTTCTCAGCTTTGATGGAAAGCCACAGAAATTTCTCTAGCTCCAAATTAACAATCTGCATAGGTTACTCTAAACTGAATTTGCAGTATACAGGAGAATAACAAGCAGAATATGTACGTTCCCGAGTCTTCTGATTCACTGGACCAGTGGGAGTGGTGTGTTGCTCTCCTAGAATGTGAAGGCTTGGCGTTTGGGCAGTGTTCACAGTGGCTCCCAAGGTGGTAGCTGAGCTGCTCTTCGGGTGCCCTTCAGCGTGTCCAGGATTTGTGGAAAGGGATGAACTGCAATTCACAAACATGGATGACTGGTCTTCAGCTTACAAGTAGAGCTGAGAGAGGAAATACAGGATATGAAGGTTTAAGTCATGATATTGTTGACAGTGTTTTAGTTGAATACTATGAATGCCCAATTTTTTTTCCACGTAATCTTACTCACATAAGAAGGCCAAATAAATACTTCATTAATTTCCAAAACTTCTGTATTGCATAGAATATCCATGAAATGACCATGCTGTTTTAATTCAGAGTCAGAAAACAAATTCCCCTTAGGCCTTGTGTTTTGGCACTCCTATTTCCATTGGATGGATTTTTTAGTTAGTTTTTTGCAAATAGATATGTCTTCTAAAATATCATGGATTTGTGTGTATTTTCATTTAACTTACGTTAGTATAAATCTCAGTGTTCTAAAAAAGCTGTGTTCTGTTATTTTATGTTTTAGAGAATACTGTTATTTATCCTGAATTTCCTGTACATTAGCAGTAATTGCAAAGCATGCAGTGTATCTGTTTAGGAGCAATATAAATGTAAAGGCATACATTTGACAGTCTTGACATGTTTTCATGACTTAAATAATGCTGTCCTTTTTTGGTGGTAGTTTAAGCAGAAGATGAAATTATTTAATTATTCTTTTTTAACTAAAGAAAGGCACTGTTTCTGTATTGTAGCACTTTTCTAGACCCTGAAACTCGAAGAGCAATGGGAGAACAAGCAGTAGCTCTTGCCAAAGCAGTAAAATATTCCTCTGCTGGAACAGTAGAATTCCTTGTGGACTCCAGTAAGAATTTCTACTTCTTGGAAATGAATACTAGACTTCAGGTAAGAAAAACAGCTCTTCAGATTCAGAAAAGTGTTATTTAAAAAAACAGAACATAACCTCCTTCAATACTTAGGGGTCTGCTCCTGCAAAGACTTACACATAACTAACTTGACGTATGTGAGCACTTCCCACTGAACTTAAAAGATCTACTCGCTTAAATAAGCCTGCGTATACAAGACTTTGCAGCGGTGAGCCCTCGCACAGCACTCAAGTAAGCGTTTCAGAGCTTTTGCTCTTTGTTACACTTGACCTAAAGACCTTGCAAGAGGTCACTGTTAAGTGCCACTGTGAGTTCACAGTAAGTGGCTAGCCACTGTGCTCTGATGCTTTTCCCCACTGGTCCCTGAAGTTTCTTTTTTATTTTTTATACTTTGATGATCGCTTGCTGAGTTTCTCTAGGAGGGTGATTAAAACTATATGTGTATATCAGCAATAAAAACACTAGCAAGCTGCATATGATTGAAATTGTGACTGGAATGCGGCTGTGTAAAAAGCATGCTGACATGGTGTAGGATTTTTGTAACAACACACGTAGTCAGATGTTATAATGTACACTGCAAATTAATGGACAAACTGTGTTTTATGGAAAACTCCCTGTACCTCTTAGTTGATTGTTAAAATGCATTTCTGGTCATAATCTAAGAAAACAGGCACATAATGTCTGGATATCATACTCAAAGATGGGAAGAAAGTTCAAATTGTAAGCAAGTAAATTCCATCATCTTTATCCTGTTTTTCTCATTTTGTTAAATAGTGCCTGAAAGACTGAAATGTGGAATCAAGCAATAGAGTGATTAGGTGCTTATTCTGTTTTAGCTACATTTTGTTAGGGCTGTGTCTTGCCTGCTGCTTGTACATGTGGGCAGTGATAGAGCGTAAAGAGATCCTCGTAATTCTGACATCTTTGCATGACTTTGTATAATGGCTGGGTAAATTTACGCTTTGGGTAGAGAAGTGAGAGAGAATTTGGGGTACAAAGGGCGAATGGGGATGTTGCAATCTTCCCCTGTACTGGGGAAGACTGCTGGTAAAATTTGCCTTGCCTCGCAGGGCAGCAATGTTTTTGGAATTAATCATGATGGTTAAACTTTACATGCTTTTGCTCGGGGTTTGCTAAGCACAATCTGGTCTACCTTAGATTCAGTTAGAGAGAGCGGTGCTTAATGGCAATCTATAGTTCATTAAAATATTATGAAGAATTCCTGTCTCTCTGATCATATTCTTTACACTTTTCACCATTTTGTAGTTCTTGAGAGGACACTTTTTAGTGGTTCTCCATGTTCTTGTTTACATAGACGAAAATAAATTCATGGCTTTCTGCATAACCTGCCAGAAGTTCAAAACCATTTTCTTGCTGTAGTATATTATTCTCCATCAGTTCCTAAATGGAATTGGCAATAGAGTATCCTTGGAGGTGATTCTTTTTGCGATTTGTTTTTAAGATACTGCCTTTGCTGTGTTATGGTGTCTTCCCCCCACAATGCATAGTGGTAAGTGTCTGGAGTCCCAAACCTCAAACTTGCTTAATTGTTGAGGTCTCCACATACGTAATAAGAAAGCTTTCACAATTCCATCTTTAAGGACTTTAAAGACTCCTTTTGAAATACAGCCTAAGCAGTTTGACAATACCCTACAATAGCAGACTTGTTCTTTCCAACTCGTAAAGAAATTTACTAATCTTAAATTACAGTACTTGTCTAGATATTCTCTAATTCCTCTATCCTGTGTATTGTCTCTAATTAGCATTTCAGCTTGAGGCTGGAGACTAGTAATTTTGTCGTGATTCTTCCTCAGGCTTTACCCGATTGATCTGTCACTTCTCCCAGGTCTCAAGCTTTACTTTCTGTTCAGTTAACAGTTACACAACTAACATCTCGTTCTTGCTCCCTTCTATTAAGAGCCAAACATAGAAACTCAAATTAAGCTTGTCCAGATTTAACTCCAGAACCAGGAGAGTCTCTAGATTGCTTCAGCCTTTTCCTTGTGCATCTCCTACCTGTGAACAGTGGCTAACAGGCTCGCTTGCTCTGTTTTTGCTGAACGCTCCACAGCTGGAAGAACTTTCCTAAATGATGGACATCTGATCCAAGAATGATGCTCCTAGGGTCTTTGTTAGTGTGCATTACAGACACAGCTACCTGTCAGCATCATCAGAACATGTCTACTAAATTACACAATTTCCTCTGTCTGTTTTAACGTTTCAGCAATCCCTAATCAGATCATTGTAGCCTTTTTACTTCTGATACAGACTTTAGAAATATACTTGCATAAAGCTAACTAAACCGTGTCGAATACTTTGCGCACTGCCTGCTGATTGCTCCCCTCCCTCCCTTTGGTGTATCTGTCAGATATCTTCCAGTGTTTTTTGTAAATTGTTTTGCAGTAATTGAGAGTCGTATTATTATTTGGCTGTCTTTTTGGGGAACTCTTTGGGAATATACCTTTCCTGCTATATAGTTCTGCAAAAAAGTGTAAGTAGCACCTTACAGGAAGTTTATATTTTATTTTAATTTTTAAGTGTTGCTGCAATACAATATGAGGTTGGGAAGTGAAAAAAGTTGGTGAATCAGCTCCATTGTGTCTCTTGTATGCTACACAAATCTGTTACAGATGTTTCACTCCCTCAAAGTGATTCAGCTAGAATGATTTATTCTTTGCTGTTGGAAATGTACTTTGTGTTGTATCTGCTGCTCTGCCATCTTTCAGAGGCTGGCTGATAAGTATGAGACATGAGATTGGTTAATTGCGTAGCAAAACTAGTTATTCTTGCTTTTCACAAGAAAACATAGAAATGGCTGCCCTAGCAGCTACAAGAGAACTTCTGTATGTTGTCATTTCGGGCGCTTTCGGAGTGGTTTTCAGGCAGCTTACCACTGTTAGGGTTGTTGAGGCAGACCAGATGTTGAGTATCTGATTCTTTATAGCTGCTCACACTGCTGTGTGCTTCGTGTTACCTAGTTGCCATCAGCCTAATCAAAGGCAGTCATAGTCCAGAATAGCCAAACAAGAGCTTTGAAATAAATAAAAAGTTTCTGACCGCTTAGATTGATAGCCCTTTTAACTTTCTAATTGTGTCAAAATCTCCTGATCGTGCTACCATCAGAAATGCTGGCTTTCACCAGAAAAATCTCTTCTGCTTTTCACTGGAAGGTTAGAAATGTTCCTCTTTGACTTTATAGGACGAGAGTCTTCAGTCTGTAAATAAAGAACATCTGTTAACATGTGGGTGTGCAGTGTGGCTAAGCTTCTTACGTGTGAATCAGTAGATGATGGCAAAAGGAAAATATCACGTATTCTAGAAGTTTGTAGCACCTTGAAATGAGAAGCATCTCTCGTTGGCTTGAGGAGAACCGAGAAATATGTGATGAGCAGTGTGAAGAGAGCACTTACCCTGAATACAATTTGTACGTCTGCGTCTCAGGTCTGCTCCCAACCTTCTGCCTCCCCCACGCGTTCTGCGATTTAAATAACAAGTGAGCACTCCCTTCCTCCTCAAAACATGACCAAATTTGCTGAGAGTAATTGGATTGAAAAGATCGTTTGTGTAGCCTGTATTCAGCACAGTGGAGTTGAGAAATACAGTAACTTGAGTAGCAGTGTGTTTTCTCCTCATGTGACAGTTTGAATATTTTTCTCATAACTTTTTAGGGATTAGAAGTTAACTTTGACGTGTTTGTAAGAGATCTATTGAAAGCAAATGGCATATCTGTATGTTTTTATTTTACAGTTAATTGCAGAGAGAGTATTTATTTTATGTAAATGTTTTCAAGCTCTTTTAAAGTAACTTGATTACAAGGCATAAAGCGAATGTAAATAAACTTCCATACACCCATAAAAGATCACTCAGTGTTAAGATTTTTGTTCATCGCTTTCAGTGTTTCGATCAGATTTTACTGACCTCTGGAAAATGTTATATTCCAGAGCTTTGTCTTTGTATGAAACTGGTGTAAAAGAGGAATAATTTTTCCATGCAGCATGTCTCTTTCTACCACCCTTTTCATGCGTGTCCCCCCTCATGAAGGTATAAAAAGCGTGCTTGGGAAGTGTCTAGAAATATGTAGAAATCCTGTCGGTGACTGTCTGGAGCTCCGCTGCTTATAAACTGCTGGTTCTAACAGTCTCTTAATGGTATCTGTATTCTGTTGCACATCATTAGGCAGCACCTGCTACACGTTTGCTCAGTGAAGGAGAGAAGTGCTGGCAAAAAATATTGCAGCTGCACTATATCAACAGTGGCAGCAAAATATAAATAGCAAAGTGATGAGCTGAGTCTGGTTTGCCAGCTAAAACCACGGAGAGGTGGTGACTTTGGTATCCATAGCAGCCCCGCGGGACGGCAAGAGGTGGTTTTGTTGTCGTGGTGTGCGTAACTGCCCGGAGGATGAATTGTGAGAGGTGGGCAGGAGTAGGGGAGCCGTGAAAGGGGCTGTCAGGAGCTAGAGGAGTAGGTTCCTACGAAGCCTGAATGGCGGGATTTCAAAGTAAAGTCTCAAGCGACTGTTTCTGCTGTTTGCCGAGACTCTTCATATTTCTTAATACTGGAATCTTGTTTTACTGTGACACTTTGCTTCAGTCATTTTAAATAGGCTAACGAACAGTGTCAGATGGTAAAGACTTTCAATTGCTGCTAACCTGGGCTGAATTTGAACTACTGACCTAAAGGTGAAAGGTCTCTTATCCCATTACCAATCCCCTAAGCCCACCAGAATCCATTCTGCACACAGTTTATACCAGCTGTTCATGGCCATTTTTAGAACCGAAAGAAAAGGTGATTTTGCTGCCAAACAACACTTCTTCACACAAGAGGGTCAGCCGACAACAGTTAACCAGATTTTTGCCACATTCTTGCCTCCTAATGCAACTTCCATTATGTAGCTACTGGTTGTCTGCTTTTCAGGCTTCCCCAAAGAACTACAGAAAAGCATTGCTAATTGTTGTTGACAGAAGAGAACGACATTGTTTGTCTAAGTCATTGAATCTGAAAGATGCCATTAACAGT